ATGATTGATTGAAAAAATATTTTTTTTTGTTCTGTTGTTCAATACAACGGGATATTTTTTTCGAAATTTACATGTCGCGACACATTGAAGAGTATGCAAAGTTACATTCTCGTTTATACATGTATAACTATTTACATTGCATGCACATATATAAATTAAACTAATTGGTCGCAAGTCACTTTTGAATAGAATATAAAAAATGGTTATAACAGCGACACTTCATTTTGTAGCGGACGGAAAAGTCGCAACTTTGGGTTAGCGTAAATGTGATGAGTTGCGAAATAATGACGACACAACAATCCAACCCTAGGTTGATGTCCGTTTCAAACATCTCCTTCTTAAATAAATAAACATTTGGATTTGTGTAGACCCAAAAAGTGCTTAGATCCATGAGCTGCACACATCTCATTGATTGCCTTTTTAACTTTACGAATATAAACCAAAGAAATTAAAATCCCACGCGAGTATCATCGGTTTAGGATCTACAAAACGTTAGGAAAACAAAAGTTTGTTGTACATTCATCCCTTTTATTTATTCATCATCCCAATCCAATCAATAATTTGCAAATAAATAGAAAAACCTGATAATTCTCATGCACAAATCAATTACATTGATCATAGTAAAAAATGAAAGTGTGTGTAATCATGTCTATTAATATCATCCACGCCTGCTCTTTTGGCGTCGTGTTTGCGATACTATTAAAAGCTGTGCATGTCATGTCATGTAGGTTGCCATTCAAGCTTTTTCGGAATAGAAAGTTCCCAAGAAAAAACACCGACTCTCTTTTTTTAAAACAGTCGATTTGATAAAGCGTGAATGAGAGAATCAAGTTTTCTAAGCGAATTATTTAAAAACTAAGGTAAAAATAGTATGTTTTTATAATTCATGCTGTTTTTGGTTTATTCATGCATTCAAAAACATTTCTTATTTATTTATTTATTTAATATGGTGGACATTCATAATTCATTATAAAAAACTTTGAATCTACATCTCAATGTCGATATATCGATTTTATTTCTTTTAAAATAACGATAAATAAAAAAAAGACGTCCAAACTTTTTTTTTTACTGTACCGTTACAGTATAAACGGAAAAATCCAAGGTTTTTGGGGGTCTGATAATTAACCGCTAACACTAACGTTAATAGACGATTCATGCTATTAGAAAATCTACGCCTTTAATAGTTTAAGTATCCCACCTGCATACACATATTTGGCAGAGACTGGTCGTCTCTTTATCATTCTTTGTATGCTATAGTGGTTGTAGTATATATGTGAGTGGAAATTTTTGGAAAAATTATAATATTTGTACATTAAATCAAATAACAAAAAAAAATCAATAAATTTTAAAGAAAATGACTCAATCAAATACAACTGGAATCAAAATTCCTCATTTCAAAATACAGAAAAACTTTTTTGGTAATGTGATTTTTAACAATATTTTTTTAATTCTTCCGATGTCTCTTTCTTTTATTTTATTTAACGTTTCCTATTTCATTATTCAGATTTGAAACTGCCGAATGGAATCAGGAAAGCAAAATCTAGTTCCGCAGTTGGTCCAAATTATATAAATAGTCCGAAAACTGAGAAACCGCCAATGTTAACATTGTCACCGGAATATTTGTCACCAGATTTTCCATCACCAGATAAAGTTCAGAATAACAATCTAACAGTCCCAGCGAGCCCGGGGGACAGTGGTAGTTCACTGGTCTCCCAGGGTTCATTTTCAAGTGTCAATAGTCAAACGACGGCTTCCACAGTAGTTACCGCAGTCGAAGTAACGATCACACAATTCCTACCGTTGATTCGAGACATAAAACAAAAAGTGGAGAAAATATCACGCAGATGCCAAATAGCAGAACATCATCGTCGCATTTGCAGTGCATTATTAGATCGAGCTTTAATAGCCGATGATGCAGTGCGATATTACGAGAGTCGACAACATGAAGACGAGGAATTTTGGAAATCGAAACATAATTATTCGTGTGTTCAAAGACTTGCTGAGGCGGTTGAACAGATTGAGGATTTTATACGGAATGTGTCGCAGCTTCGACGATATCGAAGGTTTATTAAAAAGAACAATATACAATTTACGTTTCAGCATTTGTCAACAGAAATTGATGCTGCCCTACGAGATCTGAATATTATTTCGTCAAATGCTGACCAGTTCCAGATTGGACAAGATTTAAAGGTTGTGGAAGATGATTTGAATGATATGTCAAGGGTAAATTTTTGCTAATTTTCTGATCCGATTGTGATGGAATATTTTTTTGATTCATCATTACTTTTGACAGTTTCTACAAGAAATTCTTGGTGGTATTACGGATCAATTTGGCCAAGTATCACGTGAAATAGAAGAAATATATGCACTAAATGCAACATTCCGTATACGTAAACCATTAGTACCTGCATTAACAGCAACCGCAATGATAGATGCTTCGACGGTGAAAAGATTAACCCCACCAGTGCAGCCAAGCATGAATGTCGAGAAAGCAACTTGGAATAATATGAATGTAGCATTGACAAAGATCAAACGACATTTCAAAGACGAAGACTTGAGTGGTAAAAACAAAATACGAAACAACGTAGCGATCTTAAAAAAAGTTGTAAACTGCAACCATATCATTACTTTTCATGGCGTAATCGAAGAATGGGACGAGGCGAAACGAATGAAATTTCTATACGTAGTGACTGAATGGGCCGAATTCGGAAATCTACGAGAATACTACAGGAATTTCGGTCCGTTGTCGTGGACGAGGAAATTGTCAATAGCTGTTGATGTGATACGAGGGCTAAATTTTTTACGAGCCGTGGATATCTTGCATCATGAGTTGACGCCGAGTTCGGTGTTGATAACGGCAGATCATCGAGCAAAGATTTCGGGTTGTGGGTTGAACTTTTTCTCGTCCGATAATGGGCGGGCTAACAGTACGGATCGTATAAGCGATATGGTTGATAAGTACCGATATTTGGCACCGGAGAGACTGAAGTCGGATTTTGCGTATGATGTTAAATGTGAAATTTATAGGTATTTATGATTTATGATTTTTGAATCTTTTTCTGCAGTCATCAAGAATATATTAAACAAGGATTTATTATTGGAACATTAGTTTTGGAATGTTACTATTGGAGATTGCAGAAGAAAATTTACCACTACATGGACACAATTATAAAACAGTAATTGAAGCATTACGAGAAAACACATACAGGCCACAAGAACTGTTTACAAGGACAAAAATGACACCGAAAGAATATCGAGAACTTGTACTTTTGGGTGAATATTTAATTTCAATTTGATTTGATGTCCAGTAATTAAAACCATTTTCTTGATGCTAATTAATCTATGAATTATCAGCAATAAACCATGAAAGAAGTCGTCGTCCCCCATTTTCCGAAATGTTCCTTTCCTTAAACGCAATGTTGAAACGATGCAGAGCTGCAGAAGCATTGCTAGACGAATCGCTAGCCCTCACGCCGACTTTAACTACCACGTCTACATCAATAACATCTTCGCCATCTGATAGTGGTTTTGAGGGTGAAATCTTGATTGGACTTTCGGATGAATTAAGGAATGGGCTGGCACCTTTTGAAGAAATTGAAGATCAAATTATGATTTGAATTTTTTTTGTTATGTATATTTCTTGTAGATTCTCGATTTTTTGATTCCTTTGTGTATATTGATTAAATTCTTGTTTTTGTATGGTTTGTGTGCTATGTTGACGTAAAAATAATAGAATTTATCAAATAATGATTTAGCATACTATGAAGTCTCTTGTTGTATACATGTATATTATGCAAAATTTTATATTGATTTATTAAAAAACTCACCATAATTTTTGAAAAATCGTCGTCTAATTTATGCAAAACGCGACATTTTAAGTATAGTAAAATCCCGTGCGCATGTACGCGCGCAAAGTGTGCTTCTGTGCACCCTTCCATAGAGATAATCTTAACGATAAAACAAATACATGTTCATGTAACAATTCATGCAACTTCAAGAACATCTATCTGTATGTAATACAGTATGCCCATGGCATATAACTGGTCCACTAAGCGAAGTCTATGGAACAGCATGTAATCTCATTTTTTGCACAAAGGCAACGAAAACTAGTTCGGATTGGTCTTAATGAAAAGAGAATATTCGGTTGACAAATCTAAGGCATATCCAGCAATGAGGATTCTCGCTAGATGCTTTTTTGAGTATCTTATTGGATAAAGTAGTTTTAAGAACTTGGTTATTTGTCATTAGATGTATTTTACCTATTGCAAAATTTTACTGCACATGTAGTTATTAGTTTGCGAAACGTAATAATTTTTTTAGAAACAAAAATTTGGCTATGAGCGCATAAGGATACTGCTTATCTTCGTTATCAAAAAATAGTCTGTAAACACCGAATCGCGTTACGAAACGGCAGAAACAACATAAGCATTATTATTGTTAGAATTTTATAAATCCTAAAAATTGCAATAATAGATTCCAAAAATAATAGATTTAAATTAATCTTATACATGTACTACTAAGCTATTAATAGAATCCAAGCGAGAAAGAATTCATATTAGCTTTGAAGTCCTGTGTTTGTTATGATATATATATTAAACGTCACATTATCTATCTTTATTATTAAAAATATTATTATAGAATCCCCTATTTTAGTAAAATAATTGTAATCATTTTAAAAGATTAAACTTTATTTATAAATTTTGAACAAAAAATTGATTATAATACCAAGTTTAATTAGCAAAATTTCTCTAATTCAAAATCTTTATTAGACTTTAATTTAATTGTATATATATTTTAATATATTAATTCATGAATATTATTTAAAAAGTATTTAGTAGATTATAATAAATAATAAATTATATATTTAAAAAGTATTTAGTAGATTATAATAAATAATAAATTATAAATATTGATATTTTATAAAAGATAATAAAAGAATAAATAATATTAATATTTTTATATATTAATGAAAATTAAATTTTTAATATTTTAAAATACTTAGAGTAATAAATATAATAAATATATATTTTTATTAGATTATAAAAGATTTTTTTAATTTACTTTGAATTAAAACTTTATTCAGTTTGAATTAATTTGTTATTTATTTTTAGTTTGAATTTAATTAAAATATCAGCTTGATTACAGTTTATTATAAGTTTATATCAGAAATAATATAATTTGAATGGTTTAGATTAATCTGATAATTTAGATTTTATTAAAAAAAAAGTAGATTATTTGATTTTTAAGAGATATATCAATTAAATTACAAGATTAATATGTAATAAAATTTAAAAAAATATTATTTTTAAAAAATAATCTATATTATAAATGTTTTTTATAAAAATTTGTTACTTTAATTTTAATATTAAGTCTTATATTTATTATAATTAAATTATTTTATATTTTATAATTTGATTGATAGATTACTTAAAAAATAATATAATTAGTTATTTTT